TAGCATTTTATCAGCATTGTTTTGGTCACAGATCTAAACCAGAATGCTGTATAAGCTGCTATGAAGAAAATTAACACTATCCCAGCCGGACCCAGTATAGTCTGTTTTATGCAATATGGAATCCCACACAGCCAGACTTCTGTGTGCATGTTGAGCTGCATGTAGTAACATGCCAGCTGTTCAGCGAGGAGGCTGCTGATTTGCTTTCTGATTTGGTTCATGCTGTGGTGTTCAGTCGTTGCCACACCAGGAAGAAATACTAGGTTGCTCAGGTACAGGCACTGGAGATAGGCCAGCTCAGGCAGTAGAGCTCAGGCTGCCTTTATGTCAGCCACTCATGTAATGATACTTGGAGTTCCTCTGTGAATTACTGTTGGGGGTGCTGCCAGAGCAGAGGCAGCTCCATGTAATAAATAGTACTGAAGAATACCACTATTGCACAGCCATCTGTCAGGACCAGTCTGTCTTGGGGAACCAGAGGTTGATGATCTGTTGTGCAAGTGCACTTAGGAGTCACACTTCTAAAGCAGTGAAGAAATCCATCCTGAAGGTGGCTTCTGGGTTTAGTCAAATGTGTAGCAAGAGTACTCTGAAATCCAGTGCAGGAATCAGATTTCAACTGACTGTCATCCTTTAATAAAGTGTTTGTAGCTATTCCTATTGGTTCTATTCCAAAATAATGTAATCTCCCGAATCATTGAATAAAAAGGTGGAGTACTTCTCTGTGACTGTAAGTTCGTTATAGTTTGTGATTTTGAGAAGTAAAATCTGTGGCCAGACAGGGTGCTAGACGTAATAGATTCTTGTGGGCTTTTCATCCAAAATACTGACTGTAGAAAAATGGCAAAGTGCCACTGAGGACTGGAGAGGGCTGTGGCAGATTGCATGGCGTCATTTAGCTACAAGCTCACTCTCTAGCCAACAACCGTTTGTGTGAGAGGGAGATGCCCTCCAGATGTATGTCTTTCACTCTGCGGTAAATGATACCGAACTTTTCTCTCCAAAGTCTCTGAAGTCCTACTGGCAGCCACATCTTACCATCTGTGGGTGGGAGGCATAGATGTTTTCTTTGTTTTAGAATTTTCAGTGCAGTAGTAGCATGGGAACAGTTTTATTAGAGTGTTGCTAATCAGGAGGCTGGAAAGTTCCTGTCAGAGAGAAATGTTTAATGCATGGCTCAGAAATACTGTAGGCCACAAGAGCTCTGTCTTGCAGGAACAGCATTCAGAGACTGAGCAGATGTCCTATGGAGAACAGAGAGTAGTCTGTTCTTGTAAAGGTTTTCAGTCACTTTGAGCCAAGACTCCCTGTCTAGGTAAAGATTCTTTTACATACTAGCACAGATTGAAAGAGAGAAATTTCTAACTAGCATGCCCATTGTTTGTGCCAATTTATGTGATGCTGATACATGATTCTGTAAATACTGTGAACTTAAAGACCTGATATTTGAGGACCAGCAAATAAAAAAATATTAGTCTTTGGATCTTGATACAGATGCATGTATGACACTGTTTCAAAACACTACTGCTGACTAAGAACTGTCTTCATGAACATAATTGCTACCTTTTCTTAAAAACCAGGGTCAACAAGGCAACTTACTTAAATTATTTGACTTGGATATGTTTATATCCAAGTATTTCTCTTACCCTAGGTATCTGAGTTTAAAAAGCAAAAACCACAACCGAAAAAATACAACCATCCAAAACCATTTTATTTTTATATACATGTGTGTGTATATTTAGATGAATATGTTTAAAATGTTTATATATGCACAAATGTATACATAAATGTGTATATTATAGTCCATAAAATATACTTATAAACACTTTATCTTATATTTTCCTGTGTATTGCATATTAATAATAAAAATTAAATACATACCCTTTATATTGATATTTATATTTTATTTAGCATTTATGTT